AAAAGGAATTAACATTAAGATGTTAAAAATTCCATGACTTGAATGAGGGATTCCAAAGGACCTAAAAAAGTTTCACAAAGTGTGGCATGACCTCCCTGAGATTAGCAGCAGAGTGCAAAGATAAGTACTGGTTAGATAAACTTTCCATAGAAATTATCTCCTTGCCACAATACTCCTTTTGTCAAAGACTGAGACCACAACTTGAAAAGAAGAGAGATTCTAAGCATGCTTAGAATCTAAGGCACAATTAATGCAAGTCTCAACTATTAGACTAGGCTAAAACCACATCTCCAGAGGTGAAGGTAATAATAGGTAATAGTAGTCTGAGATGTAAAGTTGAATTCTTTTTGTTAGTCTAGTCTCTCTCCTCTCTATACATACATACATATGTATATAGTCTAGTCTAGTCTAATCCTTTTTAAACATAGAAAGAGCATGCCATGCCAAGCCAAGCCACTGAATATGGCATATGCTAGTTTAACATTTCATCACCAAAAATATGGCATATGCTAGTTGACCTATTATTGCAGATGACTTGAGTTATAAAATTTCAAGTTTTACATTACTCGAAGTGCTTTTCTAATTATTGCTTTTTTTTAGTTGCATTTGGTAGTTGCTAAAAAGGTATCTTTTTGTTAGTGGGAAAGTTTGGCTTTTTTTAGCTTAGAACGAACAGTCTTTTGCTTTTTGACTTTTTTTTATCCAAAAAGCAGCTTTTTTAGCTCATGCCAAACTGGTAATTAGTTAGGTTGTTTGATTTTTGGTTGGCAGAATGTTTATTCTTCATGCATAAGTACATTACACTGATGTTGGGTTTCAAGAGCTGGCAAAAAAAGGCTATTACAGGTTATCTAGGTGAGTAGAACATTAAAATCGGCAAGCCGGCTGACTTCTATTGATGTAGATTGGTGTAGTGGACAATTCATTTATTGTGGATGCCAAAAGCTTGGGATTTTGGGGTGCTATTTTGCTATCATAATGCAAGCACTGGATTCTAATTGATCTTGTAGGTGAGTTTTTAGTGTAGGCTATGGATAAGAAATGATTGCTGATATTTGGTACTTTCATGTTATGCTAATTAATTGGATCTTAATTATTATACACCAAGATAACTTGGTAGCGGAAGTAATAAAGTACTATTGAAGTAAATGAATATTGTGCTCGTCTTTTTCAATAGTTTACATTGCACCTTGTTTGGAGTAGTGAGAGCTAAAGAATCATGACTCTGTATGTGCTGATTGTTAGTTGATATTGATATTTGTGTTTAGATTTTGTTCACAAACAGAAATCAAAGTTCTGTTCACAAACATTGTGTTTAGATTTTGTGCTTAGATTTTGTTCACAAACGGAAATCAAAGTTCAGAGGTCTGTATAGTGGATAATGAAACCAAGGAAAAATTGTGATGCTCTTTGGATAATAGCTCAATGGTCTCAGAAAGAACACGATTGTGACCATGTCAACAATCTTTTCTTTTTTCTTTGTCACCAAGAAGATTTGGGGATGTGTTAACAAGAAGATTTGTTGACAATTCTATGAATCCATTTTTTTTTCTTAATCGTCATCTCAGTAGTCTTTGATTTTTAGAAGTTGTTGGCATGTGGTTTATACATTTTTATTAAATTTTTTGTATTTGAATGTTAAAATGATGCTAGTGTGAGTTTATTTATTTGTTTTAGATTAGTAGTGAATATGAATTTTGTTGACATTTATGTAAATTTGGAATTCTGATGTGATTTGGTTGAATTAATATATATATATATATATATATATATTTTGTAATATTGTTTGATGTTGTATAGAGTAAGAAATGATTTTGTAATGATGCAAGGAATTGAATAGAACAGGTAAAATATACTAGGAGATACAGAAACAAGATAATGAATGTATATATATTAAAAATAATCTTCTACGGCATGCAAAATCATGCCATGAAAAGTATGGTGATTTATGGCAAGCAAAAAAAAAATATCGTAAAAGATTATATACGGCATACAAAGTATGTCATAAATATATTATAAATAATCTTCTACGGCATGCAAAATTATGTCGTGAAAAGCATAATGATTTATAGCATGCAAAAAAATTTCGTAAAAGATTATATACGTCATACAAAGTATGCCATAAATATATTAAAAATAACATTTTACGGCATGTAAAATTATGCTGTAAAAAATATAATAATTTATGACATGCAAAAAAATGTCATAAAAGATTATGCACGGCATACAAAGAATGCCATAAATGTTTTTTTTACCACTTTACATGTATGTTGTAAATGACAATTACCTTTCCATGGCATGTTATATAACGGAATTTGTATGCATGTCGTGAAAGAGCTTTTACAGCATGCATTGCAAGCCTTAAAAATTTAATTTTGTTGTAGTGTATATGAAAGTAAATTTTAGTTTATAATTTTAATAATTATATGTGCAAGTAAACTTAAATAAAAAATTTGTTGATACTTATCATTTTATGAATAAATTTTTTTATTAAAACATATATATATATATATATATATAAGAGGGGTCTCATTTTTATAGTTCGCATTAGGCCTCACAAATCTCAGGCAGGCCCTGTGTACATTGCAAGCAAAATCAAAGGACTGAATTGAATCTATTAGATCACGAGCTTCAACTCTTTTATAATTGTCCTATAATGTGATTTCAAACATGTATCACTAACCCATTTAAGACTAGTTTCTTGATTTAAATCTTTACTCACAAACGAGTTCACCATTATTTAATGCTTCTGCAATTTTAACAACTTACCCACAGGCAAGTTCACTAGTGTTTAATGCTTCTGCAACTTTAACAACTTATAGGCGAGTTCACCGGTGTTTAATGCTTCTGCAACTTTAACAACTTGCCACTACGTCAAAATTGGGCTTTAGTAGCGGTTTTTTACCGCCGTTAAAGGCTGTAAAACCGCCGTTAAAGCCTTTAATGGCGGTATTAACGGCGGTTTTGTTATCGCCGTTTATGCGCGTGTCGGAAAAAGTATAACCGTCGTTAAAAGTTGACCAAAAACGGCGGTTTTTTACCACCGTAAATAGGTTCAAATTTTTCAAAAAATAATTCTTTCTTCTTGCACTCCCCAAAGTCTTGAACCCTCAACCTCTCATCCACCCACACTAACCACTCTACCATAGCCACTCTTCATGAAATATATTCCCTAAATAAATATTTAGACATTAGTTTTACTTTATTGTAGATGGTTTCGCCGGAGCTCGCCGGAGTTTCGCTGGAGCACGCCGAAGTTTCGCCGGCAAAGACCGCCGTCATTAACGGCGGTAATGATTGGGCATTAACAGCGGTTTTTTTAACGACGGTAACAAAACCGCCGTTAATGATACCTTTAACGACGGTTTTCGTTACCGCCGTTAATAATACCTTTAACGACGATTTTCGTTACCGCCGTTAAAAAAACCGCCTTTAATGCCCTGTTTTGACATAGTGTGCATATCTCTTCTTTTACAAGAGCCTCCAACAACATTCATTAAGTAGTAGTAACAAAAGAGTTTACAATATCAATGTAACTTTTACCAACATCTACAAGACTCACCTGATGTTGAAGAGCAAAATAATAAATATAAAATGTGAATTCATTCTCTCTCAAATGATGCTAGTGTGAGTTTATTTATTTGTTTTAGATTAGTAGTGAATATGAATTTTGTTGACATTTATGTAAATTTGGAATTCTGATGTGATTTGGTTGAATTAATATATATATATATATATATATATATTTTGTAATATTGTTTGATGTTGTATAGAGTAAGAAATGATTTTGTAATGATGCAAGGAATTGAATAGAACAGGTAAAATATACTAGGAGATACAGAAACAAGATAATGAATGTATATATATTAAAAATAATCTTCTACGGCATGCAAAATCATGCCATGAAAAGTATAGTGATTTATAGCAAGCAAAAAAATATCATAAAAGATTATATATGGCATACAAAGTATGTCATAAATATATTTTAAATAATCTTTTACGACATGCAAAATTATGTTGTGAAAAGCATAATGATTTATAGCATGCAAAAAAATGTCATAAAAGATTATATACGACAGACAAAGTATGCCATAAACACGGCTCTTTTACTCAGGCATTTCTAGACATGTTCCTTTCTAAACCTTTTAACTCAATAGTAGTGATGGAGTTTAGAATCGCCTTGGTTTAAAGAAGAGGCAAATTTTTCCTCTAAATTAATTTGTATTTCATTTTTCAGGTCAGAAATTGCTTATATATATATTTAATCACACTTCTAATTCAGGTATGATTGTATATAAAATAAAATAACAATATTACATACCACTAAATTTTTATCACTAACACCATCACTAATGATATGATAAGTAAAAAAAAAATAAAATAAATAAAAATTAAAACACAAAACACATGTGACAGTGAGTGAGACCCACTGCCAACCACTAATTAGTTGTCTCCATCATTTTTCAAAATAAAATTTTCAATCTTGGCGCCAATTCTAGTGTCACCCACAAATAGAGGCACGATTCTTTCCCTTTCCAAACAAGATGGAATTTTCCAAAACACAGCACGACTCTTCCTTTCCAATTCTCTTTGCCTCTCTTTCTGACTCATTAGCCCTAATTCAGTTTTGTTAGGGTTATTTTGGGTAGTTGATTTTTAGTCATTTTTTTTTGGTTTGTAGTAAAAATAAAAAATTAGTTTTTTTGTCTTTTTTTTCATTTGAAAAGTTAGTTTTTAGCCAACGATAAAATTATAATTTTATTTTCATAAGTCAAAATGTGTTACATAAGTGAAGTTGTAAATATTTTAAATAAATAAGAATAATTTAATAATTTTATTATGATTTGACGTCATAAATAAATATTAATTTAAAAAATCAAAATTTACTTTTTACCAACTCCATAGAACTTCTCAAATCATTTGTTCAAAAAAACCAAAAACTTAATTAAAAGGCAAAAAAACCGCTTTTTACCATCTTCTCGAAGCCTTAATCTGCCATCTCTGAAACCACCATCTCTGGTCTATGGAACCACCTCTCTCTCTCTCTCTCTCAAAAATACTCTCGCTTGCCTTTTCACGCACACGAGCACCTTCACCATCAGCAGCGTCCTTCGCAACCACACCCTTCACCGCGACTGCGACTAACACCGACGACTACGACTATCTATTAAGTTCTCTCTCTCTCACTCGTTTGTTGCTCTCACTCTGCCCCTTTCCCTCTCCTTCTAATTTTCAAAACCCTAACAAGTGATTTTTGAAGGCTAGGGTTGGTCAAGGTCGTCTATCTCCTATGTGATTTTGATTTTGATTTTGATTCAATTTGTTCATTTCCAAGTTCTTTTTCTTTAATTTAATTTATGTGCAAATTATGCACACCACCTGTTTGCTAATATGCCTCTGAAAATAGAAAGTATAAAATCTGTTGGTGTCTCAACCATGAATAAAGAGGCATTCTCACTACCAGCCACCAACATTAAGCTATAAAATCTGGAATATAAATTTATACTCTGGGTCTAGTAACATATAATGAACCTTACCAAGCTTAAACAAAAGAAATATAATGCTGCTTTCAGAAGGTGTAGTATAGCCATCAGTTCAAGGTGGTGGTGATTATTAGGAAATTGTTGAGACATAGAAGGAGCTAGAATTGATTAGAAAGACCCATAAAATGTCTGCTATCTTCTTTGATAGTCAACTCATTAATTCCATTAGTCCTGTAAAAAAAATTTCCCTTTCTTTTTTTTTGTTTCTTATTGAAATAATATTGCAGTGTGCACCTTCTACCAGAAAGGAGTCTGTTCTTATGGAAGCCAATGCAGATATGAACATGTTAAAGTTTTTCGATCACAGTCCTCCACTGTATCTTCTTCCACAATTTCTCACCAATTTTTGGTTTCTGATTCAATTTTTGGTCTCATTCATTCTGTATATCTTGTATCAGGAATTGGCATGGCAGAGTAATTCCTCAACCTCTGGAATGGATGCCAACTTTACATTGAGGGCATGCCCAATATGTAGAAAGGTTTCATACTTTGTCATTCCTAGTGTCATTTGGTATTCTACAAAAGAAGAAAAACAGGAAATTGTTGACAGCTACAAAGCAAAACACAGGTATAATTATGTGGGTCATGTACTTCTCTTGAAATGGTTATTAGTTCTCCAATTCTCTTAGATATAGGTTGTCTCAGGTTTGTTATAGTAGATTCTTTTATTAGTTTATTCTATAAAATTGCAATTATTGCTCTTTATAAGATTAGTTTTGATACGAGGATTGGGCACACATCCATAATAGTTAGTTACTCAATTCAAAACTATTAAAATATGATATTAATGTATGAGTTAGCTACTAGAAATGATTAGAGATGGGAATAAAGGGTTTGAAGCATGATGTTGTGGCATACAACACCATGATTGGTGGGTTTTGTAGAATTGGAGAGGTTGGAAGGGCTGAAGAGTTTTTTCGAGAAATGGGGTTGAGTGGTATGGAGAGTTCTTGTCTCACGTTTGAGCATCTCATTAATGGGTATTATAAGATTGGGGATGTAAGGCTTTGGTGTTTTTGAGAGTTGCAATGAGAAAACATGAGATTACATCGAAGAGGAAGAGTTAAGAGTTTCTAATAAAGGGATTATGTCAAGAGGGGAGGACAGAAGAAGCATTGAAGCTTCAGGCAGAGATGGTAGGGAAACGGTTTGAACCGAATTTGGAGATTTATAGCGCTTTTATTGAAGCAAATACAAAACAAGGGAATGAAAGGGTTTGAACCAAATTTGGAGATTTATTGTGCTTTCATTGATGCAAATACAAAACAAGGGAATGATGAACTAGCAGGGATGTTGAAGAAGGAAATGCTAGAAACTCAAATGCCTAAGAATCAGGATTAGCTGATTTTATCCCTCAGCATTGTGAGGTGCCTTTGTTTTGGGGTCAGATTGTTGCAATCTTAAATGTATGATTTCGTTTTATGTAACATGAATTGGTGTGCATTCTGAAAGTTTTGTTTTCTTGGCTTTGTACATAGTAGAAATTTGAGCCCTTGCCTAATCATTCCTTTGGAGAGAGGCGGGCAACACATCTTTCTTGACATACAGCTTGCTATATGGTGAAAATTATTTGGGGAGCTGGCGCAACTACCTTAAGTTGGATTTTGCTCCTAGATAAGTAAACACAAAACCTGGTGAAAGATGCAAAATTTAACTTTAGGGCTTTCCTTCCTCAAATGAAAGATTTTATGCAATTTTTTTTTTTTTTTTTTGTTTCCTATAAGTAACTCATCCCATTTGCATAATAACATGTATAGTATAACTAGGAATTATTAACACTTGATCAAAATTGGCTTACATTTTAGTAAATTGATGAATTTGTTTAATCCTTTTAGAGCAGATTTAACGGTTGATTGCTTGTTTTGAAATCCTCATTGTGATCCAAGTCAACCTTCCACTCAAAAGTAAAGAATGCTTTGTCATTCCATGTCTTTGATTTCATTGCCTACTCATTCCTCTTATACAAGATGAGAATGTAACTTTCTTTCTGTATATATACAGGTAGATTTTTTTGTGGGTTCTATTCACAGAAGACATAACTACCTTAAATTGAAGTTTTGAACAGGTACTTCAAATTTAGTCTCCTTTTGCAACTTCAATAGTTGATTTTCTACTGCATTCCTATGAACATCACTATATGTTATTGTTCTACTCAGCCATGGAACTTTCTATATCAATTTGTTCAACAGTCCCTAAGGAAATGTTAATACCATTATCAAATTTTTTTTTTTTGACATATTGAAAACATATATATCGACTTTAGGAGCTTTTATGAGCATATATCCAAAATTTAGAAGAGGCTTTGAGATCTCAGAAATAAGATAATACTGTTATAGTTTTTTCGTCCTCTCTGTTATATAGTTCGATTGATAGATGTTCTACCTTTACTGATGATATTATATTTAGTTTTCATGTCCAGCTGTTTTCAGCAAAATGTCAATTTTTGGAAAAAAAAATTTGACATTTTGAAAACAGATATATCGACTTTAGGAGCTTTTATGAGCATATATCCAAAATTTAGAAGAGGCTTTGAGATCTCAGAAATAAGATAATACTGTTATAGTTTTTTCGTCCTCTCTGTTATATAGTTCGATTGATAGATGTTCTACCTTTACTGATGATATTATATTTAGTTTTCATGTCCAGTTGTTTTCGGCAAAATGTCAATTTTTGGGTAAAGCTTCTTGCCATTGGTTGCTGATAGAGGGGAGGAGATTAGAAGTAAGTACTCAATACCATATTATTGTGACGGAGAGGATTTCATACCTTTTTTTGCTTTTTTTTTTTTTAAAAATTTTATTTTATTCAGTCACTCAATGAAATGCCAAATTGACTTGTAACAATTAGGATCTGTGAAGAAGCAGAAGGTTAATCCTAGCCAACTCTTTCCTACAAGTCTCAAAATTCATTGAACTCTTACCTAGCAAAAAGAATAATTCAAATGAGAAGTTGTAAAGGAAGAACAATTCAAAAAGAATAATTCAAAAGGTTAATAGAATAAAAATGTTAAATTTTACCAATCATCATTGCTTTTATTGTTTTTGACTTTCAGGTCGTGGAGAACAGACATGGCCATTTGCCTTTTACTGAGAAGCAAGTAGTCACTCCAACAGGTGTGTTTTAGGAGAAAAATTAGTAGCAAGCCATGGACTCAATTCAAGTCTCTTCCTCTCTCTCTGATGAAATTTGGAATACAAGTAGGCTACTTCCTTTTTATCTCAAGTTTCCTTCAGTTCTCTGAATTTAAACTGAGAACTTTACATGCCTTCAATTTTTATTTGTTTGTGTTTTTTTACATATATGATTGTGTGTTTTCTCTTGCTAGCTTATAATTTAGTGTCTCCTGATGGTGTCAATTTTATGAAAAGATATTCCTCTGCATATGGCTAAACTAGATTTTTAAACTAGCTATAAATTGTTGGGATTAACTTATGCGGAGTAATGACTGATGACCGTGAATGTTGTTTCATTGGGGTGTGATTCATTCCTTTTTTGTCATCTTTTTTGAAAGCATGTATTTCCTTCGCTTTTAGAAAGTGTACATGAGAATGAAATAATGTGGCCAGCTCACTTTTAGTCTTCTTACTCATTTTCTTTCTTTCTTGTCGAATAATTTTGTAGTTTTCTGTGACATCTAACATTAACCATTCATGACAAATTAGTGTTAACTTTAAACTTCATTTAGATATTAACATTTGGCATCATACTGTTCTCTTGTTTGTCTTTACTTTCAATGTCATAAAGAGGGAGTGCATATCCTTTTATTGAAAAAGAAAACAGAAAAAAAAGGTAGTGGACTACTTACATATTTCTATCTGCAGCAAATTGGAACTGTTCACATTTTTTTTCCCTTTTGGTACATGTAACTGTTTTATGTTGTATTCTTAAGTTGCCTATCCCAAAACATAAATTTGTTAATTTGTTGGTATACTAATGCAGGTCAATATATACTGGGGTTGACTTCTACAAGAAATTGTGTGGAGTTTCCATTATTCAAAGGTGAGCATTAAATCAGGTATTAATAGAGGCACTTCTGGTTCTGGAAATAATTTTATTGAATTCATTATAAAAACCAAAAAAGATCTTTCTGGGAGACAAATTTCTTGCCATTGATACTAGAATTAACTCCTTACCTTACAGTGATTATCATACTCCTGCTAAATCCTTATGTTGTATTTGGTTGACTAGAATGAAATGGAATGGAATGGTCATTATTTGGCTTCCTTATCGAATGATCATTTCTAAGGAATGATCGTTTCCCATTGCAATGGTAAATTATGATTCCATTGGTAATGTAATTTTTAATTATTTTTTTATTTTTTTACGCAAGAATAGACATTTTAAATGAATGATCATTCCATTCGAATTAACCAAACACTACCTTGTAGCCCAAAATTATTTCTAAAGAGGCAAATTTTGCCTCTGAATTAATTTATGTTTTCATTTTTCAGGTCAGAAATTGCTTGGAAAGATGCAAAATATGGTCAAAGAATTCAAAGATTTTGTGTTTCAAGTTTTTTCATTTTTTTAATATATGTAATCACGGTTAATTTTTTTTCTTTTTTATTAATTCCTTTGTATATACGTTTGAACATTCAACTTTTATTTATAAAATATATGATGTTGTTCCATTCAATATGTGGTTGTAATTTAAAGGATGGTATATAGTGTGTACTACATTCTTTAAAGGCGTATAAAAATAATATTGATTATTCTTCAAATATGTTGAATCCTTTTTTTTATCACACGTATTAACTGTGATGAGAAATGCATATAACGTGTGATTTTATCTTATTATTAATCACATGTTTTATTAGATATTAATCACGTTTAAAATATGTGATCTAAATATTTATTATCATAGATTTTGAGTTATACATTACAGATAAAAAGTGTGATCTAAATATTTATTATGTAAAAAGTGTGATCTAAATATTTATTATCACACGCATAATGTGTGATGGAATCATCTTTTAATGGCACTCAAAATGTAATTAAAAATAATCATCTTTAATCACTCCCAAAGATCACACTTTGATAAAATTTAAAACGTGTGATTAAATAACATACATTATATATAAAAAGTGTGATCTATTTATGATTTTGTAGTAGTGAGAGAGTGGGAGAGTAGTTTGTAAATATTAGAGTGTGAAATGAAACAATTCAGACCCAGTCCTTGCAATGTGAACGAAAATCCTAGGGAATAGGATTAAACCTTAGTGAATACAATTATTAGTTCTAATGAGAGTAATTTTGTGCTTATGAGAACCACTAATAATATTATTACTATCACTCAGCAAATCATTCTTACTTTTAAGGGATAAGAAAGTTATAACTGGTGGCATGAAAATTAATTTTGCAAAATTCTATGACAGAATTTCATGGGATTTTCTCTAGTAAAGACTCAATAAACTTAATTTTGCCTCAAAATTGGATTAAGTAAAGATTCTCTCCTAATCTTTTAGTGCTTTGTGTGGAAAGATTGTCTAATAGGCTGATTGACAAGGTGAAAGATGGCAAGTGAAAAAAGGGATTAAAGCTTCTAAATAGAATTAATGCTCAAGAGATGTTAATGCTTGAGGGAAACTACCAAAGAAGTATACATTAACGGAGAGGATCTCAATTTGCCATTTAGATACTTGAAATGGGAAACATTAAATAAAATTTTAAAAAAGAAAGCATTTTATGACAAAAATCTTCTAATTTACTTTTAGAGCAGGGAGGGAATTAGTGGCATGCAATACTTGGTTTCCAATTTTTTGGCTCTTGTCTTAAACATTCTCTCTGTCAACTCTTAATTCAGAAATTAACAATTATTTTAACACGTTGTGATAGGAAGAGAAAGAGTATAGAAGAGAAGAGAAGAGAGTTTGCCTCATGTCTTAGTAAAAACTCTAGAGTGGTGCAATGACAGTTAGGAGCTGCTCCTGTGCAGTGGTAGTTTGTGTCTTTATATCTCTCTTCCCCCACTTTTTTGTTTTTGTTTTTGCTTTTGCTTTCAATCTAGGAGGCGCTTGCATTCTTTGCTCACGCCACTCCTCAAACCCAACTTAAATTTCTTTGAATGAAATTAATGGGTTTATTTCCTCATATGGGAGATTTGGAATATTTTTAGTTCACATACCATACATATTCAGAAGAAAACTTCCCTCTTCTCTCTATTTTACGGCCGTTACCAACTCATCTTTCTTCCTTACCCCAATCGCATACTCACATCACAGCTCTTACACAGCTCTCTCTCTCTCTCTCTCTCTCTCTCATATAAATTCTCTTCCTCTATCTCCCTTACATATGCCTTTTCATTTTCATTTTTTAAAAAAAAAATTTATTTTTCCCAATAAGATATTGTTTTCTGTAATTCGTGTTCATGTCCAGGTAACCTATGACACAATATCTATGGAACTTAGCAATAGCATCTTCACTTTTCCCTGTTTATGTATGTAAATGGTTGTATGTATGAATATATAGGAAAACACAAAGATCAGTGTGGAGAGATGGGCAAAGAAAGAGAAGCCCGCGCATCTCAGCCCCTGATCCATGGAAGCCAGTGCCACACCAACCAACACCACCAACCAGTTCGCACTCACACAACTGCTTGCGGATGGAGGAAGACCACCACCACCACCAGGGTGCCCCCTCCGATACCACTACCAGGGCCAGCATCAAAAGAAAACTCCAGCAACCTCTACTTAATTCTCTTCTAACCAAACCCAAACAGGTCTTTGCATCTCTGATTTTTATTCTGTAATTGTATGTATATATTTGTTTCTTTCTTCTTTTAATTATCAATTGTTATTCTCTTTTTATGTGCTTGTATTTCAATCCCAAAAGTCTTGGAAGACAGAAGGCAAGCCACAGAAAATAGTACAAAGTCGCGTGCCATTCATGCATTCTTGTTTGCATATGACATAATCCTGTACAATAAATATATCATTATTTTCAATGTTGGCTATCGTTGTAGTTTGTTTGTTGTAGTAATGAATTCTCTGCATCTACTTTTTTCCATTAATTTATTTTGTAGATTTTTTCTTATTAATTTGTTTGTTTGCTGAACTTGATGCGAGTAGCTTAATTATTTGGTGTCACCATTTTCTATTTGTCTGTCAAGTAGAGACAAACAGATATGACTCAATAATTCTTCAAGATTGTAATAATAAAGATTGCTTTCAATCTGATCTTAAGGGGCTATTTGTGTACATGTGAAATTATTTATCGGCTTCAAATCTTTAACATGTTCTATAAGTGCTGGTTTCAAAATCCATTTCAAATTATGTGCAGGGCATAGAGAGCCCAAATCATGAACGTCATTTGACCAATAGTGGTGAGTTGTTTTGCTCCATAACATATGTCACTGTGTTAATTACACAAATTAAGGTTTCTTACTCGATAGCATGTCACACCACTATGTAATTCAATTGTTTCCTGAATCAGATCAACCATTGGTTATCAAACTTGAAGGAGGTGCAAAACTTGATGATAATGCTACCTCCACTGGTTGTGCAATTTTCTGTCAAATTTGCAAATTTATCATATCGATCATGAGTATGAGGATAATGTCTTAATCGTAGCTTGTTATCGCTTCACTAGGTCAACCATCAGTTATGTCACCCATTCCATTCATGCCAGAAAAACGCATCCTTGAGCTTGTCTTGGACATATTGCAAAGGTGAGTACTAAAGTGTATTTTGCACCTTTTGAAGTTTAGGAATGGTAAAAGGAGAAAATGATTTAGGATATTTCTTGGAGGAAATATTTTGTTGTTTAAACATTTTTCTTTGGTATCAGGCAAGATACACATGAAATATTTGCTGAACCAGTTGATCCCAAAGAGGTTTATTTTTGGTTATTGATTTCATCATTTGATTGTTTTGATCCCTACTAACCCAATATAATTGATGAGATTTCGTGCTTCTATGTAAGGTTGAGGATTATTACGAAATTATTGAAGAGCCTATGGATTTTGGCACCATGAGGGCTAAACATCATGAAGGAATGTATACAAATCTTGAGCAATTTGAGGTTTGTTCCATTGTTGAAAGTTACTGTCATAATTATTAATCTACTTCCCAAGTTAAATTGTTCTTCACCATCTATTTAGTGTCTGTTATAATATGCAGCATGACGTATTTTTAATACCAAGAAATGCGATGCATTTTAACTCCACGGGCACCATTTATTTCAAACAGGTATTGTTGCCAGATTCTAGAACAATTGTAGCTAACACAAAGATCTTGATTTTTCTCCATTAATTGAATACCATAGTCTGATATTTCACAGGCTCGTGTCATATATGATCTAGCGAAGAAGGTTTTTCATGTTCTAAAAACTGATTTTGAAAACTTTGAATCGGAGTTCTCGGAGACAAGACGGAGATCAAGTAGGAGGCTCCAGGCAGAAGCCAAGGGTTTGAATTTTAACTCAAGTCCTAGGTTCACTACAAATGTTAGATCCAGTGGTATGACTAGTGATGTTTCGTCAAAAGGCAGACGATGTTCTTTAAATGGTCCATCAAATCTAAGAAGAAATATCCAAGGAAAACCTGGGTTCTCTCGTACTCGTGTTGACACTAGAGAACATGATTTTCCCCTTGGTAAGTCTGGAATCTCTAGTTTTATATTTGCTTTCATTAGTGTTCGTGTGTGTATGTGTATGTGCGCATCTCTGTGCAATGTGCATGCAAGTCTTGTTGTAAAATGTAGTTTAACTGTCTTGTGTTCCTTGCATTCTGTAAACAGTTGCTAGAGATGGTAGAAGATCTAATTTTGTTGAAGTGGATCGGCGTTGCACATATAAACCATGGTTATCCTTCCACAATGAAAATGATTCTATTTTCTCAACAATTCATAGTGCCCCACTACTAGTGTCTCCTGTAAGATTCCTTTCCTACTGTTTCATTCTAGTGAAATGATCTCTCTTACCTGTCTTATAACTATTTGCATCTCTTTTAACTCTATATTTTCATTTCTAGATTGTATTAAACCATCTAAAAATTTGCCTCACTAAGACAATTTCATGTGCTCTAATACATCTAAATTGTTTATAGTGGTAGTTTTGAATCGCTTTAGTATTTGCTTTATGAACGATAAAGATTGACTTGTCAGATAGTCTTGATTATCTAAAGTGAGGATAATTACTTGGTGATTGTGGCTGTAGGTGAATCAGTGTGATATTAGCTACAGGGAAAGTTTGATGTTGTTTGCTAAAGGTTTAGGACCAACAGCCCAAATGATTGCCAACCGAAAGTTACAAGGATGCTTGAAAGATGCTCCCAATTTTCAAACTCCAGCTTCAAACTCTTCCGGACAAGTTGCTACATGTCAAGTTCCTGCTGCATTTGCCTCTGCTCATAATGGTCCTAGGACTCTGGATACATTAATCCCAAATACGTCTTGGGACTTATTTGATCCCCTTCCTGGGTGTTGTTCAGCCCTTGAAACAACTACTGACATAATTGATTTGACTGACGCTGATGATGGAGAAAAGGCTCATATGAGTGATAGGATGGGTGATCGTAGTGCTTTGGAGGGAAAAGTTGTGAGCAACCGCGAACGTGACGGGAAGAAGACTTTTAGTATTAGTGACAGAGACAAGGTTCTTGAGAAACAAATCAGTAACACCCATCTGGGATTGAGTTCTTCCACTTCCGGAGCTGAAGTTTTGAATTACTGCAAGCCTCTGGCTGCAACAGTGGACTTGAGCAAAACAGATAGCCAAGTGCAGCCATCGAATTTAGCTTCAGAGAATTCTTGCTCAAACAAGATTGAATTCAAGTTGAGAAACAGTAACAGTTCGACATCATCATCTTCATGGATCTGGCATACCAGTGGGGTCTCAAGTTTGGGTCTGTCCGATGGCTCCATGGCAGCTGCAGTGGGACCAAAAGGTGAGAAGAGTAGCTCCTCCCTGCAGCAAGGGGGCCACACTGTGGAATCAAATGGAGTTGTGCCATTAGTCTCTCCGTTTGCTTTTGATCTACCTTTCTTGAAAGCACGGCTTAACCAAACAAATCATTTGAGGCAGGACGGTTTCTTGCAACCCAAATTCCAGCAAGTTTCCGTTAATGAGGGACCAATTCCATCATCATCATCCTTGGGCCAAGTAAGCAACAAGCGAAGGACTTTTGGGCGTACCCACCAAGCAGAACTGACCATTCAATCTTCTCAGTTGGCTATGGCTATTAATAATCAACAATATTCAGTACCATCAGACACTCCGGATACTAATTTGGCTTTACAGCTACAGCTTTAAGGACTTTCAGAGTAACTCGAAACTTTCCACAAGTACAAGCCGGAAAATGTTAAAACATTCTGAAAAATTTAATGTGATCATGTTACTTCTAGTTGGTGTTTAATTTTTATTTCAGGAAAAGTTGTTGGATTGTCTTTGATGATTTCATGACTAGTATCATAGCACTAACATGCGGCTTTAATGGCTAAGTGGTGGATTTGGGCTTGTTTAATTCACAAGTAATTAAAATAATCATGAATCACATACATCATTGCTAGTGATTAGCTAAAAGTTAGCAAACACCAAACTATTATCTATTAGATAGAGATTTTGGAAGTAAAAAGGGGGAAAATTGGGGCAAACACCAAACTATTAGCTTTTTTAGCTGCTGCACACCCTGTAATTCCCTCTTTTAAACCAATGTGCTACATGCTAGGCAATTGTACTATAAGAAACAAATCAAAACTAGCATTGTATGGAATCAAGCTCAAACCCAGTACTTTGTTGTTTCCTTAACAAATATTAAATTTACCAATGGGGTAGCTTTTGCTATCTTTTTTGCCATTTGGATTTTTTATGCTCCTAATGTTTTAGGGCATCCCGACAATTATATATACCTGCTAATCCGATGCCCACCCTGCCTCATATTGTGCCGGAATGGTATTTCCTACCAATCCATGCCATTCTTCCTAGTATACCTGACAAATTGGGAGGTGTAGCCGCAATAGCACCAGTTTCTATATGTCTGTTGGCTTTATCTTTTTTTAAAAGTATGTATGTACGTAGTTCAAGTTTTTGCCCGGTTCACCAAGGATTTTTCTGGTTGCTTGTGGAGGATCGCTTACTACTAGGTTGGATCGGATGTTAACTTGTGGAGGCACCATTTGTTATGCTCACAATGCTAGTTTTGCTCTTGTGAGAATCAACTCTCTCTTCAAGAATCTTTTGAGCAATGCTTGTTTTGAATCGCTTTAGTATTAGCTTTATGAATGACAAAGATTGACTTGTCAGATAGTCCTGATTATCTAAAGTGAGGATAATTACTTGGTGATTGTGGCTGTAGGTGAATCAGTGTGATATTAGCTACAGGGAAAGTTTGATGTTGTTTGCTAAAGGTTTAGGACCAACAGCCCAAATGATTGCCAACCGAAAGTTACAAGGATGCTTGAAAGATGCTCCCAATTTTCAAACTCCAGCTTCAAACTCTTTCATACAAGTTGCTACAGGTCAAGTTCCTGCTGCATTTGCCTCTGCTCATAATGGTCCTAGGACTCTGGATACATTAATCCCAAATACGTCTTGGGACTTATTTGATCCCCTTCCTGGGTGTTGTTCAGCCCTTAAAACAACTACTGACATAATTGATTTGACTGACGCTGATGATGGAGAAAAGGCTCATATGAGTGATAGGATGGGTGATCATAGTGCTTTGGAGGGAAAAGTTGTGAGCAACCGCGAACGTGACGGGAAGAAGACTTTTAATATTAGTGACAGAGACAAGGTTCTTGAGAAACAAATCAGTAACACTCATCTGGGATTGAGTTCTTCCACTTCTGGAGCTGAAGTTTTGAATTACTGCAAGTCTCTGGCTGCAACAGTGGACTTGAGCAAAACAGATAGCCAAGTGCAGCCATCGGATTTAGCTTCAGAGAATTCTTGCTCAAACAAGTCTGAATTCAAGTTGAGAAACAGCAACAGTTTGACATCGTCATCTTCATGGATCTGGCATACCAGTGGGGTCTCAAGTTTGGGTCTGTCCGATGGCTCCATGGCAGCTGCAGTGGGACCAAAAGGTGAGAAGAGTAGCTCCTCCCTGCAGCAAGGGGGCCACACTGTGGAATCAAATGGAGTTGTGCCATTAGTCTCTCCGTTTGCTTTTGATCTACCTTTCTTGAAAGCACGGCTTAACCAAACAAATCATTTGAGGCAGGACGATTTCTTGCAACCCAAATTCCAGCAAGTTTCTGTTAATGAGGGACCAATTCCATCATCATCATCCTTGGGCCAAGTAAGCAACAAGCGAAGGACTTTTGGGCGTACCCACCAAGCAGAACTGACCATTCAGTCTTCTCAGTTGGCTATGGCTATCAATAATCAACAATATTCAGTACCATCGGACACTCCGGATACTAATTTGGCTTTACAGCTACAGCTTTAAGGACTTTCAGAGTAACTCGAAACTTTTCACAAGTACAAGCCGGAAAATGTTAAAACATTCTGAAAAATTTAATGTGAACATGTTACTTCTAGTTGGTGTTTAATTTTTATTTTTCAGGAAAAGTTGTTGGATTGTCTTTGATGATTTCATGACAAGTAGTATCATAGCACTAATATGCGGCTTTAATGGCTAAGTGGTGGATTTGGGCTTGTTTGATTCACAAGTAATTAAAATAATCATGAATCACATACATCATTGCTAGTGATTAGCTAAAAGTTAGCAAACACCAAACTATTATCTATTAGATAGAGATTTTGGAAGTAAAAAGGGGGAAAATTGGGGCAAACACCAAACTATTAGCTTTTTTAGCTGCTGCACACCCTGTAATTCCCTCTTTTAAACCAATGTGCTACATGCTAGGCAATTGTACTATAAGAAACAAATCAAAACTAGCATTGTATGGAATCAAGCTCAAACCCAGTAGCTTTGTTGTTTCCTTAACAAATATTAAATTTACCAATGGGGTAGCTTTTGCTATCTTTTTTTCCATTTGGATTTTTTATGCTCCTAATGTTTTAGGGCATCCCGACAATTATTTATACCTGCTAATCCGATGCCCACCCTGCCTCATATTGTGCCGGAATGGTATTTCCTACCAATCCATGCCATTCTTCCTAGTATAGCTGACAAATTGGGAGGTGTAGCCGCAATAGCACCAGTTTCTATATGTCTGTTGGCTTTACCTTTTTTTTTAAAAGTATGTATGTACGTAGTTCAAGTTTTTGCCCGGTTCACCAAGGATTTTTTGGTTGCTTGTGGAGGATCGCTTACTACTAGGTTGGATCGGATGTCAACTTGTGGAGGCACCATTTGTTATGCTCACAATGCTAGTTTTGCTCTTGTGAGAATCAACTCTCTCTTCAAGAATCTTTTGAGCAATGCTCTCATGGTCAATCAGAACAAAGTTCTTGCTTCACATCCTTTCTGATTTTGATTGATACCCTTGTCGATACAGAAAAGGATGTCGATCAACCTCTTGAAGTAGTAGTCCTAAAAACATGATCAAATGACAAGCAAACTTTGGTATCTCTCTTGAAGCAGTTTGCGTTAACAGGCAATGACATTGCTGGTGGGTGCATAGTTGACTCTGGTATAAGATATTCTTGTATTATCAAACTTCCATATGATATTTTAGAAAGATAACTGCAAAAGTACTTCTCACAGTTGTACCTGAAGAGGCCCAATTTAAATCCATTGAAATTTGATCTGTGCTATGAGCAAGGCAAGGCAGAAGGGTTTGTGAACCTTTCTATGATCACCTGTCACCTCAAAGCAAGTTGGCATGCTGTGGTAGCTAATTTGGTTATTAAAGCCTGAGGGGTCATTTGAAGTAGTGCATAGATCTCAATTGAATAATGGTCATGACCATATGTGCTTGGCCATGCCATAGATGACCATAAAAGCATACCTGAAACTCACCAACAGATGAATCAATGGTTCATATATAGTTGTATAATGAAAAGACTACTTTTCTACCCAGAGGACTGCTCTAAAAATGCTTAATTTTGGTAGTGTATGTTCTCATTTATATTGTATTAAATTTTCCATGCTAGAAATACTTAATAAAGAAGTAGAGATATTTATCTCAGCTATTTATGTCATTGCAACATATATAAAGTTGATACATATCTTGAGAAAACTTCATTGCAAGTGCTTCTAAGTTCTACTGCTAGCAAACATCATCACAATTAAATAGATATTTCTTAACAGAAAAATTATAATGAGGTACCAACTAGCAGACACTCGCATTGTATGCGGTATTTAGTAGCTAAGCAGAAAACGTTGATACCCTAGCGAACTATGTTTTGGAACGTACATTCGGAAACATGGTACATTTTTATTCTAAAATGGCAAATTTAGCAATCCAAAGCGATCCCAACAGTTTTTCTCAATGTATTTCCTTAAGGTTCCCTTAGGTGTAAAAAAAAAAAATCAAATATAATAAACTAAAATCTAAGGTGAGTGAAATTTTGATATGACAAAACATCAAAAATAGATTATAATGCTTATAGAAATGTGTTGCTATTAAATGATTAATTTGGAAAAAAAAAGAAGTTACATATTTATTGGAAGTCTAGTTAAAAAAGTTTTTCTAGACTAGAAGTACCTTAAATTCTGGTAGTGTAAATTATAGAAGTACCCTATCGTATAACCATTTACAGGTAACATAATTTCATAGAGATTTCTCATTTTGGTCTTTCAATCTACTTGTTGCATTTTAGTGCAGTATTATCCTTGTTTTATTCCTATAAGGGTTTAATTTCCTTGAGGGGCTGCGATGAATGAAGCTAGGTGTGGGCGAAAAGAGAAGTTTGGGTCTGCATATGGATCCCCAGCCAAGAGGGATGAAGTCTGTGTAGGAAGAAACATGAGTGAAGAAACAGATGAGGCAAGGTTTTGCTGCTGTTAATAGTTGAAATGATGTGGTTTTGAAGCCACACTGGTGTCCTTCGTTAAATGGCACCATTCCATTTATTTTCCATCCAATTTCCCATTTTGTTTGTGTGCGTATGTGTGTGTGTATATATATATATGTGAACCATGATTCATATAATTGTTTAGATTATAGAATATCAAACCCATCCGAATGTCAAACCCCCCTACAAATTAACCTCTGTTTTATTCATCCAAATATTCACAAATAGGAGATTCTGGTGCCTCTAATTAACAAAACAAAACAAAAACAACAATAAAACTTGTCTTTTGCTCTTTACATCCTATGCCAGGATTTTAAATCTTAAAAAAGAAAAGAAAGAAAATTGATACTAATTATTTTACTTATTATTTGTATAATCAAAAATCAATTTTATTTTGAAAAAAGTAGATTACCCATAAAAGTTTGTTGGTTTTCGATTTTCAACTGACTTGTTTTATTCATTCATTGAGAATAATGCTAGGATGATTCTATTTTCTTTAGGATTGGATGCTTTTTAATTGAGATATTTAATTAGACGGTCCACTCTAGTGTACTCTTGATACAATTTGGGTCC